GAGTGTTTTGTCCCAGTTTGGGACTCTCCACAACTCTCACCCGGGATCGAACCTTGGACCTTCAGGTTATATGGCCCATCAATTCTAACTTCTACCAATTCATGATATATTGCGCTACCGTCAGCCAACATCACCGATAAGTATCTGTCCTCACAGCCGACTTGGTGGACCCCGCTTTTTTAATTGAAAATCTGCAGTCATTAAAGGTTAATCCGATGGGTTACCAAAAAATAAACTGTAGAATGACTAAGAATTTTATCGCTAGATTTAGATCAAATCATTAACTAAACTAAAAAATGTAATGATGTATATTATTGCATGTGTGATTTGTTATATTATTTATTTATTATTCACTATGACCTAGAAATGGTGTATTTTGTTGGGGTTTTTATTTTTCCTATTAACTATTAATATTTTTAAAATTTTATACATTTATATAATTATAAAAAGAGCTAAACCAATGCAATATGTAAAATGAAACGCTGAAAATTCCATGCTGTAAATTGTTATTGTTGTGGAATAAAGTGATTATTATTATTATTACACGTTTGTACCCAGGTCTAGATATTCCCCATCCACCAACCAGCATTCTTCATTCTCCGATGTGCCCATCGTCAGGCAAGATGGTTTTATAATGCATTCACCTGAAGTCAGATACTTCATGCACTTATTCCACTTTATGAATTTGAATAAAGCAAAATTAACAGTTTGTGTAGAATAAGATAATACTTTCGTTTATTTCATCAACTTCTTATTAGCTCCGTAAGGCTTACATCCGTTTGTTAAGTTTATGTGGAGAACAGTTTTAACATACTTGCAAGTGTTACACAATTTCAGTGGACAAGAGACTTCAAACTTAATAAATAATGTTCAGAGAGTAACACTTATATAGTTTACACCCAGAAAGCTCAAGTTTAAACAAAGATTAGTGCTTGTATACACTGGAAAAGGAGAGTTGGCTTTAGTCTCTTCCCCTTTCACTATAATGCAATTTTGCTTGTCTTTTACTCCTATGGTTTGAGTTGAACTCACCACCTTGTTATTCAACTTATTAAATGTTTATCATTTTATTCACCTTTCGTCTGTATTACGCAACTCCTTTTCTACTGTATCCAAACATTCATTGTTGAATGGAGGATTTCATCACGAGCTGACATCAGACAGAGAAACACTGGAAAACCATCAGGGAGTACTGGACAGTTGTTTCCTCAGCCTAGTTTGGAACTCTTCATCAGTACGCATCCGCCAACGGAGTTCGAACCCAGGACCTTCTAGTTGCAAGGCTAGCGAGCTCGTAGACCATTAAGCCACCAGGGTCCAATCCAATGGCCCATGAATTCTAACTCCTGTCAATTCACGGCATAGCGCGACCACTTCGCAATATCTTCTTCAATGATGAAATCCTCCAACCAATCAAACAAAAGTCCCAAAGAAACCAATGCGTGAAAATTAATCTGATGTTCACTAGCGACTGGCCCTATTCAGGCAGTAACCTAGGGTTCCAGTGGGAAGCCATGATCAGTAGGGTACAGCAGGTTGAAGGTGAAGCAGTGACTCATCGAAGAAGATATGTCATGAATTGGCAGAAGTTAGAATTCATGGATCATTGGATCGGGTCCTAGTGGCTTAGTGGTCTACAAGCTCGCTAGACTTGTAACCAGAAGGTAGTGGGTTTGAACCCTGGCGGTGTGTGCGTACTGCTAAAGAGTCCCAAACTAGGCTGGGGAAATAGCTGTCCAGTACTCCCAACTGGTTTTCCAATGGTTCTGTAACTAATGTCAGCTCATCATGAAATCCTGCAACCAATCAAAAAAAATCCCGACAAAACCAATACTTGAAAATTTATGGTTGTATTCAGTTTCGTTTTGTTTAAACTTGAACCTTCTGTGTGTAAGTTACTAGAGAAAGTGTTGAAAATAATGGTTACTCTCAGAAATTCATCAATAACTACAGAAGATGGAAAGGCTGAAATGCCAAAAAAAATCACTGTGGAAAAGGAGCCTATCTTCTCTCAACTCGATATGAACAGCGATAATATTGCAGGAATAGTCAACAGAAGATTGAATACCTCACTAGCCAGAACATGTCCTGCAGCAAATTTGGTTCCCATTCATCGGACAACATGCTCTTTGGTTCAGTCGAGGGTTGACGGATACCCTTCTCATGTTAACTCTAATTTACACGTAGCTGCGATAGCAGTTACCTTGGGAGAACAGAAAGAAGGTCCCACCTTCAACTGTCCGAACATATGTCGGAAAGCCTACGTCTCAAGGGAACAAACGTTTATAACAATACCAATGCCAGACATCTTATCGATATGGGTCATAAGGTAAACAACGTAGAATCCTTTAAAATTATCAGTAAACAGAATAGTTCAGTCGTCTTTAGGTTTCACAAACCAGTCGCTATCAAACGCCTGAAAGCTAATAAATGCGTTCAGAATGGAGCAGATGTCAGCTTTTCCTTATCCTGATGGCTGATTGTCATTATTCGCTCTTCCATCTGATTACTTAATCTTTGGCTTTAACCTGTCCCCACTTTGATTTAGTGTAACTTTGCTTGTCTCTTGTTCCTATGATCTGAGTCGAACTTACCATATTGTTTCTCAATTTATGAGTTACCCATCATGTTATTCACCTCTAGTCTTTATTACGTAACTCCTTTGCAATTGTATCTACGCTCTTATTTTTGTTTAAACCTGAACTCCCTGGATATGAGCTATATAAGTGTGATTTATGAACACTGTTTATTAATTTTGAAGCCTTCTGTCGACTGACATAATGTAGCAATCATAAGTATGTTCAAACTTCTTTGTATATAGGCTTAATTAATTTCTTAGCCTGTACAGCGCTGATGAGAAGCTGACGAAATAAGTGATGAGACTGTGTCATTCTGCACAGGCACTTGCTTTCCCTCTATTCAAATTAAAGTCAGATATCTGTAAAGTAGGATTGACATGAATCATATCAACACAAAGATAAATCCACTTGAAAAAAGCTGCTTACATTACTGTCTGGATCAATATCTCGTAGAAATCGTTGACATATTGCAGTTTTTGATGTTCCAGTTTCTCCAACCAATAATAATGGTCTATGGATTCTGACTAATTTTTCAATAAGCCAATTAATTCGAACAGTTTCAACAGTTGGTACTAATATTTCAGAGAATTTAAGCGACTTATTATGTATATATGCAGGGACTAGTAGACGCCATGGTATCCAAACTTTCTTTACAACATCAAAGTAATAGTCGAATAGTGTCGGTTCAGCAGTTGGTATAGTTCCAGCAGTAGCCGGAGTGCTTGGTGTTTCTTCTACAGCTGGACCAGGTAGGCTGGCTAAATATTTGACATAATTATCAAACTTTTGACGTTCATCTTCAATTAGAGTTCCACCAATACAGAAATATATACAGAAGAGAAATACGCTTTCAATGAACGCATATTCTGTTTCTTCATTGATATTGTGAAGTAGGCAATCGAGTAGGGCACAGAATTGTACTAAGAGATTAAGATCTGTTAAATGG